TCCTCCCAACCTTTGGCCCGTTCCCCCCATCCCTTCTTCCCTCCCCTTTCTCGCTCCTCTCCCTCCCTCCACTTCCTCCTCTATGTGTGTTTGTGCTGTGTCTCTGTCTGTCTCCGTCTGTCTGTCTCTCTGTCTGTCTCTCTGTCTGTCTGTCCGTCCGTCTGCCTGTCCGTTTGTCCGTCCGTCCGTCTTCCCAACCTTTGGCCCGTTCCTCCCTTTCCTTCTTCCCTCCCATTCGTCACTCCTCTCCCTCCCTCCTCTTCCTCCCTCCACTTCCCGTCCGTCCGTCCGCCCGTCCGTCCGTCTATCCGTCCTCCCAACCTTTGGCCCGTTCCCCCCATCCCTTCTTCCCTCCCCTTTCTCGCTCCTCTCCCTCCCTCCACTTCCTCCTCTATGTGTGTTTGTGTGTGTCTGCATCTGTGTCTCTGTCTGTCTCCGTCTGTCTGTCTCTCTGTCTGTCTGTCCGTCTGTCTGCCTGTCCGTTTGTCCGTCCGTCCGTCCTCCCAACCTTTGGCCCGTTCCTCCCTTTCCTTCTTCCCTCCCATTCGTCACTCCTCTCCCTCCCTCCTCTTCCTCCCTCCACTTCCTACCTTGGGTTCCTCCTGGCCCAAACCCCTCCTTCCCTCTTCTGCTCACACACACATAGACTGATGTTTGTTTGATAACACACCCCTCATGTTGTGCATCTCTGTTCGTCTTGGTTACTTGCCTCCCCAGCCAAGACTTCTCTTTGTCTGTGTCCCCCCTGCCTCCTAGCCCTACCTCTCCACACTTCCCCTCTGCCCGGCTCTCTCTCTCTGCGACTTCCCCTCGTCCCCTCCCTTCCCCTCCCCTTAGCCCCTGCTCCTGTGTATAGATTTGTGTCAAATGCCCATGAACACAGGCTTGGAGGGATCGTGTCAGTGGGGCATGTAAAACAGTATTACATGCCCAGTTGGGCAATGTATGTACAGCCAAGGATCCGCAAGGTGATGAAAAGGACTGAATGGACAATGCAGTGCTAGTGGAATCTCAACAAGCAGTGTACATCCACATGCGAGAGGAGGAGGAGATACCAAACTGTTGCATACCGTAATGGTGCAAAACAGAACAAGGACCAACCTCACATGGTATAAGATAGCGCAGCGGAATGCTAGGATGCCAATGATCAACCCAATCGATATTGCAATGCAGACTAAACATACATCATCATCATTACAAGTTGGGAAGGGGCCTGGCGCTCACACAGGAAGAGTGCGCCAGCCCCAAACATCCACAGACGAAGAGGAGGGGGATTAGACGAAGATGAGGGAGAAGATGGGAATGTCATCACACAAGTGTCCCTGGTATCGATCCCAAATATCCCTCGTCAATGTCTCTATTCCAAAGTCGAGTCTGTATCCCAATGTCGTCAACATCCCCAAAATCACCAATCTCTCTCTCGCTCGTAGTCTGCTGAGGCCGAGAAGTCAGAGAGTGAGAGGGTGAGGAAGAGATGGTGGACTGAGAGGAGGAAGAAGAAGAACTCTCTCTCTCTCTCTCTCTCTCTCTCTCTCTCTCTCT